GCCACATTTGCTTATGCACCCATTTGTCTTCAGTGATCCCTTCGACTCCTCGTGATCACACAGGCAGCCTGGTTTCTAATCTAAGCTTTTATACTGACTGGGCTGAGAGGTTGGAGATGGAGACGCAGAGCAGAGGTAGAATTCAGCCAAGAATGTGAAGTTGAGAAAGGCTTTATTGAAGCAGGGAAAGAACTTCTGGGAGGGAAGGGAGAACAGAGAATGGAATGGGGGGATCTTCAGCCCCCGGAAGGGTTCCGAGACCCAACGAGTTAGGTCAGGGAAGTCGCGCTGGCAGTGAGGCAGTGGGACATATAGAGCTTGAGCCAAGGACGTGTGTACTGACAAGGGGAAGGAGGGCCTTCTGGGGCTGCAGCTGCAGGGTCTGAGTCAGGATGTGGCCTGTGAGTAAATCATCCCGGACCACTGAGGGAAGGGGCTGTTCAGACCCAGCCCGGAGAGATAAGCTCCTTGGAACCCTGGAGGCAGGGACTGCACAGTCCAGCTCTGGCCTTGAGAGGCAGGGGGAAGGGGCCACCCAGACCAGCAGGCTATCTGTCGGGAGAGCTGGGGGAAGTGACTCCATGGTCTGGACCTGGCCCAAACATTTGCAACTCATTTTTATATCTGCCTCAGTCTCCTCGTCCTTAAAAGTGTTACTGGACCTAACTCCTAGGATCTCCGTGAGAGAATTAAACTAAATTATGCAGGTAAAATTCTTACCACCATGTTTAGCACCGAGCAAATTCTTATTCAATGTGAGCAGTAGAATAATAATAGTACAGCTCACAGCGATGCTTCCCTAAGGGAAGAGGGTAGCACTGCATAGAGGCTGAGGCCTGCAAGGTGCTTTCTGTGCCTACACGCCCAGGAAGTAGACTTGCCTGGCTCTCGAGTGTCCAGGTAGAGTTGATAGGTAGGCTTGGGGTCCAGGGGGGCAGCCTGGTGAGTAGTGTCCTCCCACCTCCAGACCCTGAAGGCGTGTGGCCATGTGCAGCACCCATCGTAGCCTCAGCTGTCAGCAGCTCCTACTCTGACCTAGTATTGGCCTGCGAGGATGGTGTGCTCACACTGTGGAACCTGGCCGAAGGTGAGTGCCCACTTTACTGCCTAACACTCATGTGGGGCTCCAGGCAGCAAGCTCCTAACTCTGGAACTCTTGTGAGCTTGAGACCTTCTGGTATCCCCCAAGTTCTTGAAGCCCCCTTGGCGTGTGTCTCTGTTGCCTCACTCATTCAGTCAATAAGCATCCCTTGAACATACTTCGCACCGAAGCTTTACGTTCCCCAACTATTTCTGCAGGCTTGCTCTGTACCAGGTCCATTGCCTGCTTTATCGAGCACCCCTCTGGGAGGGGCTGATGGCCTAACTCACCACTTCCCTGCCCACAGGCTTTCCAAGTGTCGTCTGCCCTACTTAGCCACTCCGGTTTGGTACTGGAGCTAAGAGACATTTAGGAAGCCCTCAACGCGAAACTAGCAACACTCCCAGGCCTGGGGCCATTCTTTTGGGTGCAAAAAATCAATGGCCTGTCCATTTACCCCCAGACTGAACAGCTGCTAGAGAAGTCTCGATGCTAACCAAACTTTTAAAACAGTGATTCATGAATCAGTGGTTTATCATCTTACAATTGGACATGTGTTTCACTTGAGCATGAGGTAGGCAGCCCTCCCGGCAGGGCAGCGAGGTCAGGAAACAACCCAGTGGCAGCACCCTGCTCCCTATGGACCGGCCTGTCCCGGGAACCTCCATTCCTCTGTTCTGCCACGTGGTACTAAGATAAACATGGACCACAGACCCTTCTGAATTCTTTTTTTTTTTTTTT